CTTAAGCCATGCACATGAACATTTGTACTTAATCTATATAACACTTACCATACGAATATGTGTTGTGTTGAAAAAAAAACATGCACATAATGTGAGAAGCCATGAAAAATGAACATTACCACTGCCCTTGTATAACCTAGCTAGTTATAACATGACTGACAAACTGTTGGTGATGATGTACTTGATGTAAACTTACCATACCCTGATGGGAATAATCCTAAGATAAGAAAAGTAGAGGGACAAATGGTGGTGGTTAACTCACAGTGATTAAAAGATGACAGGATAGTATGATGGAAAACAGAAATATCAGAAGACAGTGTCCAAACATAAATATTAAATCAATGATCAATATCAGTTTGGTTTTATCACATACATGTATTTAATAGAAGTGGTAGATTATCTACAAAAATTAAATGAGTTCATAATGTAAAGGAACAAACTTTTTTACTTATTTTGTCACTAATTCTCTGTTCTCTGTTTTCAATTAAAGAATTGAAGAAGCATCACAAAATGATCAAAAAAAGAAAATCAAAAATTACAAAACTTTTAACAACAGTTATTTTAACCAATTGTTTTATGAGAGAATAAACACTAACAGTCAGGTTTTTTTTTTTAATCATATACATTTTACTAATATTTGTTTAATTCAATAAAATTTACTAAAGTTTTTTAATGCTAAATTTCATTACACCTACCTACATTGTATGATACTTGAGAAACAAACAAATGTATATACCGGTACTGTACATTTTTATGATTTTACGGTATTCATTAAGTCACTTTGTGTCATAGAACTTCAGAAATAATTTTCAGTTTCATGATTTTTACTGACTTTTACAGTACATACATAACATATGAGACATCTATGTAACAGAAAACACAAGTAGAACAAACTAAAGAGACATACTGAATGCACTTACTAAATTACAATTCAGTGTATACATACATTTATAATAGGTTACACCAATGATACATTATTGTATTAGTGAAAATGCATTACAGATTTTTGGTATTTTGCTTTAATAAAAGATTCCATCAACTAATGACAAAGAAAAATTTAATAATAATTTAGGAAATAATTGAGCTAAATTTCTGAAAATGTGTTAGCCGCAATCACCCTTAAAGATTGGTAGCCATCATGCTGATTTATGATTTAGTGTAACTAAACATGCACAATACATGTACACCCAGACATGTATACATCATATGAAAACAATATCACAGAGTTTGAACACTTTACTACACACTGCATTGTGCATATAGACCCGAAGCATCAATCATGTAGAACATTTTAGAAATTTAAGCCAATTGCTAAAAAGGAAATATGAAAAACTTAGCAGAAATCCTAAAAGTGAGTCTATCGCTAATACAGAATAAGTCGTAAGTGGATGTAATTTCTCGTGGATTTGTGCTTTGACCCCCATTCAAAATCATATGGAAAAACACAAACTGATGAACATGTATGGCCATAGGACAACACATCCACAAAGTTTATTGACAATATTTGGTGCATGCTGAACTGAGCTTGGAACATGCCCAATGTGCTTGCTGGTAAAATGTTTTGTTTCAAACCCTGTATCAAATTGCACTAAACCACAATCAATCATTAAATGAATGAATGTATATTCAGTTATGTTGCACAATACCTACCAGCATTTGCATAATTGCATCTGTTTTTCACATAAGAGGAATGTGGCATGATCATATTTACACTTACCACTGTTGTGTTGACTGTCCTATCTTGCCTTTGCTGTACTGTTATAGATGGCAGCAACTAGAAAGCATCCAGATAGTTTATATACTGTAGAATTATATACTTTATTTTCGCTTGGAATTTATTTTCACTATTTTCGCTGAAGGGATGATTCCGTGAAAATAAAATCCAGCGAATATACGTTTTTTCCTATATTTCACATTAAGCACATCAAAAATCGGTGAAAATAAATTCCATACAAAACGCCCAAAAAGCCTTTTCAGCGAAAATTAATTCCAGCGAAAATAAAGTATTCCACAGTAGATGAACAAGTTTTCACTTGCATGTCAGTAAATGTGACATCATGGCCAATATTACCATGTGTTTATTATGTCAATTGAGACCACCCTAGTTTAAGTGGAAACTACTAACTGGTACATGTATCGCAGTGCTGGCAGAGAATAGAATTAATCAGTCCTTGTATGGACAGCACAATTTACCCCTGAAAGGATTCAAGATACAGCAACTTGTGTGCAACTCACAGGCTCATTTCTCCATTTTCTCCCAGCAACTTGTCAAAAATGTAATAGCTTAGCTGTATTGGTATAGTATTGTACTGTATTGTACATGTAATCTAGCCTGAAGATATTTAGTGTATTTATTTTGTTATCCGGCCAGTTTCACAGGCTGGTGTACTGAAATATACATTCTAACAACTTTTACCATTTTGCGAATGGGGTTACTCTCCCTTGTATACTAAACAACTAAGCCCAGGACCTATCTGGAACCAAAATGACTCAACGCAAAACCACAGCTATGTTACAGTAAGTCTTGCAAGTATATTGGGGCAGCAAGCTAACTTGCTCACTAATTCGCCACCTACTTATGTTTTGACTAAAGCAGATGACATACTATTTGAATATGACCTTTCATTCTGTCATCATCAAATACTAGTACCGTTAAAATCCTATTATTAACCGCATACCTAATAGTAACCACACCCCCGATTTTGGCTTCAGTGTTAAAGAGTTCTCAACAAAAATTGAAAACATGAAAAGTACCTATTACTAACCACACCCCTAATTCAACAAGACCGTGACCGACTTTGTTTCAACGAGCTGGTACATTGTTCCTAACCCTATTCATTTGTTTCGACAACGTGCCTAAAAATATTCACACTTCTTAATTGTTCAGTAGTGTTAGGATGTCAAACACACAGTGAAACTGCTTTTGTCTTGTGACAACTTTTGTCAATACTTCTTATGAATACGTCAGTGTGTCGCAAGTTTTCGACAATGAGCTGTTCTCACCGAAAAACTGTTAAATTCTTTTTCAATGCTCAGTTTATCTTTCGAAAACAACTAATTTCTTGATTTAAAAAAAAAAGTCATGTAGTTTTCCCATGGAAATCAAAGCCAAAAGATCGCACTACATTATAGGTAAATCGCTTCCGGGTTTCGTTCACCATAAAGTCGGTGACCTGTCATTAACATATTTAAATGACTAAGGTAATTTGAATACGTGGGCACCATCCAGCATTTTCATTGATTAATTAGCGACTTGACCTACT